CATTTTCCCTTTTTATGGCAAGGCTAGTGGCAAGAAAGAGAGGAACAAAATCATCTCTTTGAGACATGAGGGGTTTACATAAGAGGGAGGGGGGTAGGCATATGTTACTGTATGCAACTAGTTTTTCTAAGTCTTTGTTTAGCCCAATAGCTTCTAATGTTTTAGTATTAGCTCCCTTTTGCTTGTGTTCTTGATGAATTGATAGAGAAATATTCGAAAAAGTATTTAGCTAAAAGGAAATAAGAGTTGCTCCGTTAGAAAGAGGTAAAAATTCTTCTTTTGCAGGGATTTTAGGAAAAAAAGTCTCTTATCATTTTTTTATTCTATGAAGGAATAAAAATTAATTTTACGAATTCCTACTTTGTTTAAAGTATATTTATTAACTTTTTATATAGATACATCATGTAAATTGATCTACTTTAAATAGAAAAAATAAAGTAGATAGTGAATAAGAGAACATAATATTCGGCCTCATAGGTCAGAAATAGAGTTCTTTCTTTTTATTTTATTTATAGTATTTCTTCTCATTATACTGCAAAAAAATATTGGCTACAATTGAGGAGGTCTTATCAATGAAATTTCCATTTACATGGGATCTAGGCATAATTCCCAACCCATTCTATATAGAATTATTTTCATTCCTTCACAAAATAAAATAAAAACAAACATATTCAAGATGAAGCACAATAAAGTACCAGGCGTATTTGGGCTGCCTATTGAGTTTTACCAGTATTTCTTTATTTATTCTTAGTGGAGATCTTATGCGGTTATTGTTAAATTTACCATGGTATAGCTAGGCTCGGTTATGGTACTTTGAGTCTTTTGATTACAGTTGTATAGGCCTCTATCTTTACTGAATGGTGCGATAAAATGCTATGTTTTTTGGACAATCTAGAAGACATGAAACAATTCATGTTCTTGAGATATTAAACCTAGTGATCCTACTAATGTTGTTTTATTTCATTAAAAAATGTAGTTTCTTTTCCCTATCTCACAATCTCAATACCTAGGCAAAACTTTGAGCGGGAGAAGCTACACATCAGTCGACTGAATTTTTTAGTTAGAAACAGTCAATTTATGGACCGTTGGATGAAGATCGTATGGCGTCTGGATCTTCTTCCTCCTCCGCTCCCAGACCGCCAAACGTGTCGCCGAACGAACCACCAGCCACCACCACCTAGGGTTGGCGGCGCTCCTGTGACTGCCTCGCCGCCCCGCCCTCCCCGGAACCGCCCCCCACCGCCGGTCTAGCCGCCGCCCCCGCCATCCCTCTAGCCCCGCACGCGGTTGGATTTTTTTCTTTGGCGAAGTGCGCCACCGCCCCACACCACCGCCGGCAACCACCGCCCCCACCCTGTACTCTAAGATAGATATTGGGGTGATGACGGCGAGCCCCTTCGTTATCTCCGGCGACGCCCTTCCTTCTCCTTCCTTCGTTGAAAAATCGACTGACCCCCGACTGATGCATAGCTAAACTGTTTTCGAGCAGCTACTAGCTAGCATGTCAAGCAAAGGTTTGATTTCCTATGTTTTGGCAGTAAACAGGGGCTTTGCCCTGTTTACCTGATAACATATTGCACTGCACAAGACAGTTTTTTTTTTCTTTTTGATGAGGGTAACTGCACAAGACAGCTGGGTTCTTTTGTCTCAAAAAATTCCGAACGAAACGGGGTCCGTTGGGCCGCTTTTCCTCGGAAAAAAGGAGGCATGAGTATCATCGATCGGCAGGACCATGTTCGAAGCTAGTGCGTGGGCTGCCATACCACTTGGAACGCAAGGCAAGCACAACTTGTTACTCTTTCTGCCAAGCGCGAGGCCTGCTGGAAGCTTTTCTGAAGAAACGGTAGGCGAGTCAAACCCTTGTGTCGTGCTTACAAGATCGTGCTAGTAGTAGCCGCTACATGTGTTATCTGAGAGTACTCTTGATGGATAACCGGCCAGCAGACGAACTGCCTGTCTGCTTAGACAATGATGTTGATGCAGCAGCATGAAAGACCTACTCTAGCATATAGGAGTACGATTTTTCTACTATCCTACCATACTACTGTAGTAGTTGAATACCATTTCAGTGTTAGTACTCTTCGTAAAGACGACGGTGTGGTGCCTATGAAATCCTTGCGTCAGTGTAAATCATTGCCGTTCTCTTTGTTTGTTATAGTGGCCACAAAGAGACAGTTTGCTGCCTATGCAACCCTGTGTGCGATGTCCTTGTCTAGGCGAGGTCTCTGCGGTAATTCCTGATTAGTAGTAGTAGTAGTACTATACACCAATGCGCACTGTAATGCGGCACTGCGTGGAGCGACGTTACTGAATTCAGATACTGCGTGCAGTATACTACAGTACCATCTTCCGGGTGAGCAACGATATTTGTGGATTCAGAGACAATCTACCCAGGTGCAGTCAGAGATCTCGGGAGAATGATAAAACCCGTAGTCGATCACCTGCTTGCAGCTTGGTGTTGTAAACTTGTAATCAAATCCAGATGGCACATACGAATCTGGGGTAAGCAGCGCAGCGCAGCGCATTATGTTCTTAGGTTTTTCAGTGAAGCTGGTGTATTCGTTAACTAACTTTCAACAGGTACAGCCAAGTCGACAAATGCAGGACGATCGAGTGGTCAGCCAAAGATGGCGTTCCAACATTCCGATCACGTAAGCATCACAGTTTAATTCCCTGCGTTCGTTCCATTTACAGTCAAGGCAGTGGATCACCATATATCTCGAAGGATTGCCCCAACCCACTCTGCATATGCCTTGAAGGACCAATGGATCGCCACATAACTGTAACTTAGAGAGCCATGGCAGATACCTAGGGTCACCTTCTTATATAGCTTAGTTACTGGCAACTTATTTTCCATCATTGATGGTGCAGGCCACCGCCGCCAGTTCAGTATCGAATCGAACATTCCTGCTTGGGTAGGCGGGATGCAACGGCATCACTTACAAGCATCGACAGCACTTTTATCTGAAACTCTGAATTCCGAACGTGCCACTGCAGTGCAGCCCAGGCTCCGGGGCCTCTCCTCCGTGACCCGTGACAGCCGCCGCAATGCATCACACATCACCTAGGCCTAGCTATTCGATCGAGCTTGACGACAGTGGTTCTACCTTTAAGCAATGGTGACTGGTGCATGGCAGATTCGCGAGCCATGGCCTGACCATTCTGTTGTCCATTTGTCTGTCATGAACCGAAGAAGTGGCTCACCAGACGCGGAGGACAGGGAGGGAGGAGCGATGCCGGCGGCATGGAGAACAAATCGACGCCGATGCTAGAAACTCAGCCATGAGATCGCCTCAAATGGAAACTAAGGTACTCCCTCCGGTCCTATTTAGTTTGCGTTTAACTTTTTCCCGTTTTTCCCGCAATGCTCTGCGCGTGAGGCTTTTTCACCGCTTCTTTTCAACTTTGCCCCTCCACTTCTTCAGGCGCTGTGCTTCGTCGTCCTATCACTTCACCTCCTCATCTCATCTCTGTATGGATCCACTTCTTTGGGCATTGTGCACGCAGAGGACGGCGAGCTTGCGGACCATGGCGTGCTCTTGGCTGGTAGCATCCGCACGGCGGCGGCGTGCATGCAGAGGACGGCGAGCTTGCGGTGCTCGCGGCCGGTGGCATCCTCACGGCGGCGGCGTGCACGCAGAGGACGGCCAGCTTGCGGACCACCGCGTGCTCGTGGCCGGTGGCATCCTCACGGCGGCGGCGTGCACGCAGAGGACGGCGAGCTTGCGGACCACGGCGTGCTCGTGGCCGGTGGCATCCTCACGGCGGCGGCGTGCACGCAGAGGACGGCGAGCTTGCGGACCACGGCGTGCTCACGGCCGGTGGCATCCTCACGGCGGCGGCGTGCACGCAGAGAACGGCATGCTCGCGGCCGATGGCATCCTCACGGCGGCGGCGTGCACGCAGAGAACGGCGAGCTTGCGGCCGGTGCCATCCTCACGGCGGCGGCGTTTGCGCATAGGACGACGAGCTTGCGGACCATGGCGTGCTCGCGGTAGTTGGCGTGCACACCGAGAACGGCATGCTCGCTGCCGGTGGCGTCCTCTCGGCAGTCTGCGTGCACGCCGTGGACAGCAAGCTTGCGAAGGACCGCGTGCTCATGGTGGGCGCCCAAGAGGAGAAAGACGGTGTCGTCTAGGTGGAAGCGAAGGACAACAGCCAACAGGCAGAGGAAGTGGACATCGTCCTCTGATGCTTGCGTTGGAAGGGCATGCACTCACGGAGGACGCCGCTCGTGTAGGACGATGATCCATGTTCCATGCATGCATGTGGCGAACAAGAGAAGTGCGGAAGACAGAGGAGAAGCGTGCAGTTTGCTCTCTTCATGGGACTTGATTTATGGAGTGGTTCTCTTAGTTTTGGCGGGAATTACAAATCCGTGGCGGCAAACTAATTTTTGCAGCTAATTTTTGAAGCTACTCCATGACGGCCTGCTCGGTTTAGGAGGAAACTAGAATTTTGCTGGCTCGCATGCAGCGCCAGAGAAAGAGATAGAAGTCCGCATGCAGCGCTGGGAACGAGGCGAGAGGAAGGAGAGCCAATCAAGGTTGCATGCACATTTATTAGCACCAGCTGATCTCATTCATGCGCGTAGGGCCACAGGGGCAATCTCGTCCAGAAAACAGCCAGCGACCCATGTCTTGGTATGCGAGTTTGCTCTTAGACGCAGAGAAAAAAGGACAGGAGGGAGTAATCAATCAATCAATCCATGGCGTAGGTCATGAAATTCAGCCATGAGATCCTACCATAGGAGTAGTTTATTTCAGGTAAGTTGCGGCCGCGGGAGGTCGCTCGAAAGAGCAAGTCTGAATCTGTAGCTGGCGCCGCACCAACGCACGTCGCTTCTGAACCGATAGAAGAAACAAACAGCTGTGCGGCAGTGCAAAAATGGATTGCAGCAAGGCCACAGGAGCCACGAGATTATACAAAGCCAACAAAACAAACGGGGAATATGCTTCTACTCTACTGCATTTTCATGTGGCTAAGACAAGCTCTTCGCGTCACAGCTCCATGTGCCCGTCGTCGCTGTCGGCCGTGGCAGTGAACCCGTCGTCGTCAGAGTCGGTGTCCTCGCCACCGCGGCCGCCGTCGCCGTCGCCGTCGCTGGAGGAGAGGCGCGCGAGCCAGCAGCTGCCGTGGAGGTGGCCGCTGACGCAGACAAAGTACTCGAGGCGGCCCTCGTGCGCGCCGAGCCGGCGGCACGCGCTGCGGGGCGCGAGGCCGGCCGCTGTGACGCTCCAGACGCGCGCGCCGCAGTAGGGGCAGCGCACGCGGGGCTCCAGCGGGGCGCGCCCGCCCACTAGGCAGGCGCGCGTGCGGGAGCGCATGAAGCCGCGGAACACGCCGCGGTAGGCGCCCACGTCCTCGTCGGCCGCGGCGCCGGCCGCCGCGTGCTCGCACGGGTCCGACACGTACAGCAGGTCCCCGCCGCAGCGGCGCGACAGGAAGCTCCGGCCGGACGTCTTGGAGAAGCGCGACACGGGCGCGAAGTGGCCCCGCACGCCGGCCCCCGCCGCGCCGCAGCAGAAGAGCAGCAGCTTCGCCAGCGCCGGCCACCCGCCGCCCACGCGGCCCGACGCGGCCGAGGAGCCCGTGGTGAGCGTGGACACCATCCGCGGCGCGCGCGAGACGCAGAGCTCCCGCCACAGCACGCGCTCCGCGACGGCGCGCAGGCGGCGGCTGACCCGCGCCACGGAGCACAGCGCCTGCGGGTCCCAGTTGAGCGCCCGGAACACCAGCGCCAGCACCTGCTCGTCCAGGATCCCCACGTTCACCCCGCGGATCCGCGCCCCAATGCCGCGCCCCCCGCTGCTCCACTCGTCGGCGATGCCGATGCCGATGCCGCCGCTCGCGTTCGCCTTGCTGCCGCCCCCGCCGCCGGCGCTGCCAACGCGCAGCCGCCTCATCTCCCGCGTTCCCTCGCTCATGCTAACCGAATGCTACCCAACCCGTGCACCGAGCCAACGGAGTCCGGCGACTCCCTCCCGGCGCCTCCGCGCGTGCCAGCCGAACCTAGTTGCCCGACGTGGTGGTGTGACTCTGAGCGTGACTGCGATTCGCGAGTACGAGCGCGGAGCGGGGCGGCGCCGGCGGGTGGGCAGTTATATACGTGGGCGGCCGTCCCGTCCGTGCTCCCTGGAGGCGACCCCGACCCGGCCAGCCAGCCCTGCTCCTCGTGTCGCCGCGCCGCGCGTGACAATTGTACGGCTCGGCCGCAATAGCCGCTCGCGGTACGGTTGCGATCAGAAAAGCGATCCTTGTCGCACTCCCCCGCACGCAAAATATCTCCATCATCCCCGCACGCTAATCCCTCTTGCCTTGCGTGCCGTCTGCCGTGCCCCCGTCAAAACAGTGCCGTTCTTGGACCGGAGCAGCGCCTGTCGCCACCGCCCGATCCAGGCTCGCTGCCCGGACAGAGCGCGCCGGTGCTGCGCATGCGGGTGCAGCACAGCGCTGCTCGCCATCCCCAAAATATCTTGCGCGCACACTGCCAATCTTAGTTTACTTTGCCATGTATCATGCGAGCTTAGTTTACTTAGCTGACGTACAGTATCCACGGCGGGCACACTGGCGGACGGGACGCGTGCCCCGGCGGTCGCGCCTGCGCGCCCGTACTCTGGGGCGACACGTGCCGGCCGGGCCTCGCTTGGCGGGGGACGCGTGGCGCGATCACGGCGGCTGGCACCGGATAGTCTCAGGATTCGGTTGGCTCCTCGGCCGGGGGTGGCGGCGGTGCCGACGCGTGTGGCTGCCGGGAAGACCACACGCGGAAATATCTGGGGCTACGCGGCGCGCCTGGGTTGGCCGAGCGGCACACGCGTCCGATAATTAGCTCGGTCGCTCGCTGCGGGCGTTCCGTTTCTTTGCCGCTACGTACGTACTGGATCAAGATCCACCAAATCATCAGATCTGCTGCACGCACAACGGTGGGATTGCATTTATTTTGTCGTCTTGTGGGAGAAGGGTGGAGATGTACGTTACGCAGGGTTTGATAAATGAGTGAATGACGTCTCGGGGCTAAATTTCATGTTTTGACTCTTTTCTGAAGCCTATTCGAGATTTGACCTTAGTTTGAAAAAATTTCGAGATCTGATCCTTTTGCTACCGCCAGGGACCATGGCGATAGGAACCGGCTCCTCTAACTTAGCTACTGTGAAGTTAGAAGCCTAACTTAGCCACATTTCATCCGTTGGATCTAGAATAAATGGCTGAGATCTATCGCTACAGTTCTTAAACAATGTCAATTGCTACAGGTAACAAACAGTGATTTTAGCTACAGTGCTCGTCCAAACAGTATGCTACGACCCCATGTGAACAGTGTAGAATCTTGACCATCTATTTTCCATCTGATGGTTCACAGACTAAGTTAGAGTATTGTTTCCCTAACTTCATAGGAGCGAAGTTATAGAAGCCAGTTCCTGGCGATAGGCACCGTCAAGGTCCTTGACGGTAGGGTTGCAATGCCCTACCGCCAAAAACCTATTAAGTATTGAACACAGTGCGTACCCGTGCCTACCGCCAAGCACCTTGGTGGTAGGGTTGTGCAGGCTATCACCAGCCCGGTTGGCGGTAGCGATGTTTCCTACCGCTAAAGCCTCTGGCGGTAGGCTGTTAACCCTACCGCCATGGACTCTGACGGTAGCAAAAGGATTAGATCTCAAAAAAAATTAAACTGAAGTCAAATCTCGAATAGATTTCAAAAAAGGGTCAAAATACGAAAAATTGCCACGTCTCGGCTGGCTCTCGCTCCGGTGCGATGGGATGCCCAGGAAACGGGGTTCCTTCAATCATTCGTGGTGTCGGGGGCGATGTCATGGAGGAAGCATCGCCTCGCAGTTCACACAAACATGGTTTTTTTTCCAGTTCGAATCACGCAAGCATGCTTGTTACTGTCATCAGGTGCTACTGTGCTAGTAACACATCAGAGTTCTTGCCATGTCAAAAAAAAAAAAGATTTCGTGCTGACACACAACTACGAGGTTTTTTCTTCACAGAAATCTCTACTCCTAGAGAGGTGTCCGTAATCGTTTCGTTTCGTCTGTCCCTTCGATCGATCGATCAGAACCCCTCCCCGCACGACATCTCTACTCCTAAAGGGGCAGTCTGTAATCGTTTCGTTTCGCTTTGTTTCGTTGTCCCTTCGACCGATCGATCAAAATCCCTTCCCTCACGGTAAAAAGAAAAAAAAATAGAGAAAGGAAGCAATGCATGGGATCTGATTACTTTAGACTTCTTTTTCTCGCGTGTTTTGTATGCGTGCGTTGGTGTTGGTTGTGTGCATCTTCTCTATGCAGCGGTCGGATGTGTGCGGCATGTATTCACTTGAATCTTGATGCACCTTTTTTGAGCCAATAAAATTCACCGTTTGGGTTAAAATGATACTATGTGGACCCTTTTACTCTTATCAATTGATTCAAAGGATTCTAATGATATGCAAAGACATGAAAAATAAAGTAATTGCAATGGGGTGTCAACAGATCGTATATTGTTTTTTATCTTGTTTTTTGCAAAAATGATAGGATTCTATTATAAAAGTTTATCGAAAATACAAATCATCTCAAACATAATAAAAATTACATCGAGATTCTGAGACCACCAAATGACCACTAATGCCATCAGAACGAGCTGCTGTCGCCGCTCCCCTACCGGAGCCTTCTTGACCTTGTCCATGACAACCAGGAAGTCTTTGTGCACATGCCTTTAAGGACCAGCGCCCTGGAACCGCAGTCGTCGCCGTTAACCCTTGTATAAATCTGAAGCACATGGCACCAAATCTCGTCACATGACGAGAAATTCTAACCACACTGCCCTAGGGAGACGACAAGAATCTGCGTCAAAACTCCATCGTCTACGTCCGAAGTGACAAGCTTGATGAGGATCGAAGCCCAGAAGAAACACCGTCATCCGCCCAAGAGTCGTACCTGCGAGGTCTAAAAAACTCTAACCTAAACTACTAACCGGAGCTGAGGCACCAGGATTCTCCTCTCTGCTACCAGCCGCCAAAGCGGCAGGTAGAGGAGAGGCGCATCAACAGGCTCACCGGTGAAGTCTAGAGGGAAAACTTTGCCCTAGCGACCTAGGGTTAGGGGAGGAAACAAGAGGAAGTAAGAATATAATGCTACATTATTGGGTACCATATATTGCACCGAACAAACAATATAGGAAGTAAATTTAAATCCTGCAAATGAAACCACCTCATTTTTAAACAGAAGAGGCCGCCCTGTACGCTTTGAACTAGTAAAATAGGGAGGTGAAATGAAAAGAGACATCGTGGTGGCCCTGTGCAGCGGGTCCAGCGGATCCACTCTGTCATACAGACCACAAGTGCTTGCCTCAAACCTGCAAGTTGCTGCCATGGAAACACACATTTTTTTGTTTCATATTCCTGGACGATCCCCTTCTTATGCATGTCAGTGAAGCATGCAATGACAAGACAGGTTCACACCAAGCATGCAACTCTTTTTTTCGAGACAAACAGCCATGTATTACTCACTGTCAGCATGAGAATCACGCTGGATACAGGCATTTAGGAATACAGGAACCTGATACATCCAAGTACTCACAAGTCACAACATTCGATTTGGAGCCCTTTTTGGCTGTGTAGTGAGCAGCCATTTTGGCTTCTCTTCTAAGTTCTAACATGATTAAGCTCAAAAGATATACACACCCTAGCAAGATCTTGGATTTGATACACCATAGGGAGGATACACGAACTATTAACGTTCCTACTACGCCACAAATTAATCAACTCAAGGCTATCAATTTCCATAATCACCTTCAGCAGGTCCAGGTTGCACCCTAGATCTGCTCCGTCCCCGCGAGCAAGAGCTTCAGCAGTGATAATATTAGGGAGGGCTTCACACCATTTGTTCCTTGTTGCAATAACCCAACCCTGGTCATCCCGAATGATCACCCCTGTGGCTCCTTGTCGAGTATCCAAATTGAAAGATGCATCAACATTCGCCTTTACAAAACCTACAGGGCGGCGTTTCCATTTAATGATTCTAGCTTCTTCTTTCTCCTTTGCATCAGAATTTGATGTTTGGATCATATCTGATGCCATCTCCCCATGGTATCTTTTATTTCTGAGGGTCCAGATCGCCCACATGCCGCAAAGGATAGCACGACAGAGCTCCTGTGGACAAAAGGCATTATCAAGCAAGTCATGTGACCAAGTAGCAGGATGTAAGCTAGGCAATTTACAACCACATAGTTCTTTAAAAGATTGCCAAAAACATTGGGCAAACACCAAGCATGCAACTGATGCTCTTTTTCCCGTACTTGGTTTCCTCTGAATATGGACGTGCAAAAACCTGTGAGAGCAATCTGACTTTTGAAGTAGACCAATGCATCATGCCTCGCGATTCCAGTACTTGCATCAAGAAACAAGGGAGGCTGCTAGGACTATGGACATGGAGCAAACCAGAGCCAAAATGAAAGTGAGGCTAGATACAAATCCTGTGTGCGCCTCGTCGCCACAGGGTATGCGCTACGTGGCTTTCTCCACAGGCGCGGCGTCGAGATTCTGGAGGATCCACAGGCAGGAATCAGGATGGGTTTCCTTTCTTCTGTAACGCAGGAGCAGGTCAGGGCTGACCAACTCAACCCTTGCGTAACCACTGGCGTCGAGAGGCTGCAAATAAATACGACAATCAGTAGTCTGCTAGGGGATTTCTTCAAAAGTGTTACGATGAAGAAGGGAATAACTGAAAACCTGTATGTGAAATTTTATCATGGATCCATGGTAACATCTAGAATTGGACTGGACTACAGAATCTTAGTCATTTTCTTGAGGGATTTAGGCTGGAAAAAAAAATCTTGGGGGAGAAAGCGACTTTAATAACATCAAGCATCTCTTACAAGAGAATTTGGGAGGAACCTAAGACCTAAAAAATTACTCCAAGATAACTGCCGTGTACATCCACCTTCCATGACAAATACTCCCTCCGTCTCTAAATATAAGTCATTTTAGATATTTCAAAAGAAACTACATACGGATGTATATAGACGTCTTTTAGAGTGTGGATTCACTCATTTTGCTCCGTATGTAGTCCATATTAAAATCTCTAAAAAGACTTATATTTAGGAACGGAGGAAGTAAGAAGTAAAGGAGATCAACATACGAACCATGTAGTAACATTTTCGTAACACCGTGTGCATTTCAGGCATGTTTGCACCAAGTTAGAACATGCAAATGGAGGGTGGAGCTTCCACTGGTTTTCTCTTTCTTTCTACTACCATCCAGCAGCAATCTCCAATACACGTAACATTTCAGATGAAAGTATTCTAAAAGTGAAATTCTCCACCCTCGCAAAAAAGTGAATTCTCCAGAAAAGGTAAATTAATTGTACTTCTGTAGCTTCCCATTTCACCAACTATGTTGCCTGCCCACACACACTGCAGTGTCCCTTGCTTCATTTGATCCGTTGATATCATTAAAGCTTTTCAAAATTTCCTAAAAACACGTGGGATCAAGGTAGGGACCCACAGTCTGGCAAAATCTTAAAATCGACCTAACGATGAAACCCAAAACACACAAATATACAATGAATTGCGATTTTATGCCACTTAGTTATTAGCATGCATCTCGTGGTTCGCCTTTCTCATTTCTCGGTCTCTTGTTTGACTACGCCGTTGAGCAATTATTTTTCGGGCAGTTTAGTTCATCAGAAATTTCAATTTTGCCAGATGTACCATCTCTCACACTATTCACTAGCTTCAATGTTCTTCTGGAAAATCTGGAAACCTTTTATGGTGGGATGCTCAATAGCTGGTCCATAACATCACCATAAATACAAGGACATTAATGAGATGTGACCTAAAGCAAAACTAAACATAAATTACTACAGTTGCAAGGTATTGCTGATCTCTACTTGATATTTGTTAGGTGCCTGTTCTGCAAATAACATGCTAGGCATGCATTATTTGCCATTATGTGCGCCAAGCCGGTAACCTGGTCTACAATAGTTATTTTGTCTGTCATCAGGATGCACTGTCCGATTTCCATCAAGGAGGTGATATTCACATAAACATTAGACCGCTGTTGAATATTGTGAAAATAATCATGTGACCCATTTCCTCAAATTGAGAAGGCAAGATTTCCAATCAGAAGTATGTGTATTTGCAGACAGCATGAACCAAATAAATCAAGTTGACAGCTTGTTACCGCAGATAATTTTCTTTGAAACTAGAAACTTACTGGGTATCTAGCATGGAGAGGAAGCTCCATCACAAGGTTACAGTTCATTGATGTGCTTGGCTTGAGATCAAAATGAATCTCAACAGCTGACCGGTTGGACAGAGCTGAGGGGAGTTCCAGGTTTGTGTCTCCAAAAACAGCAACATCAAGAAAAACTACAAGATAAAAGTAAATTATCACAATGTAAATGTATATAGTATAATTGACTTGCTAGCTCAGAGTTTTCTCTCACCTTTTCGTTCAACAAAATGATGTAGCTCGAATGGGTCAACAAAGACCCCACTAGGGAGGCTCTCAATTATCACAAGATTCGCATCATAGCCATCAAGGAATTTTACCAAAGTATCTTCGCTGTTACCAAATTTCATGGAATAGACAAGACGGCGGTGGGAACCTTCACCAACAAGTTGCCGGTGCGATTCCAAAAGCACAGGCACATCAGGGTCATTAGTGAGTCCTTTGCACAAGTCAGAAGAATCAGGTACGTCAGCTAAGTCAATATGTTGAGCAAGCGGTGGCGTCAAGGTGCCGGGATATGCATCAGAAACGTATGTCATAGAGCAGGGCATGCAATTGAAAGATTTCTGGCTGCTCCATGCCTGCGCGGAACTAGAATTAGAACTTACAGACAAAATTTTGAACGTCTTGAAAAAAAATGAACCAAAATTTAAAGTAGCGCCTAAGTAGTTAACATTGTGGCTCTCGTTAATCATCAAACACAGTTAACTACCACCAGAAAACTAAACTCACAGAGTAACTCAATCTAACATTGGATGGGTGCACAAATCCTGCTTCCTAGAACTGAATTCAGCAATGCAAGTCTGTAGAAAATCCGACGTAGAATCACATAGGCAAACACGTTATTCAACCCCTGGTGTACCTGCTCACTAGGCGACGAACCAGCAGCAGCAATGGAGGTCCAAGCGGCCACAAGCACCACAGCTAGCAATTTTCCATGTGGGACATGCGGATTCAACAGACCTAGAAACATCTCTGAAGAAGAAGCTGCCCCAGCACCTGGGCAAAGAAAAATCAACGACTATCTGAGCGAAGAAAGAATAATTTAAATCACTCGCTGCCAGCACGGTAATGAAGAAACCCCAATAGTGAAACAAATTCTGGGAATGACATATATCCATCCAATGGAGCCAGGGATCGGTACCAGCAGTATAAGGCAAAAAACAATCCAGGGCATGGTTGCAAATATTGGGCGTACAGAGTTCGAGGAACGGAACAAAAACAACGACAATAATTATGGAACGGAGGGGGTATCAAATACCAACTACTCCCTCCCTTCCAAATTACTCGTCGTAGAAATGGATGTATCTAGAACTAAAATACATCTAGATACATCCATACCTGCGACAAGTAATTCGAAACGGAGGGAGTACATCACAAATACTCCCTCCGTTTCAAATTGAACTAAGAGCAGTGCTACATGGATGATACTTTATGGCCGATCTTCGCACGACACAAGATTACAGCCCTGTATCCCGTTTGTTCAGTGGGAAACAACCGTTGACTAGTAGAACGCCCGTGCGTTGCCACGGGCTTTTAAAATTTTTTTGTTGAGTTGTATAAACATAATGGATGTAAATTTTCACATATAGAGATAAGATAGTACGGGAATGTTGGTGCTTTGTCATGTGTTACGAAAATATTTTGCTAAAATTATGTAAACACAACGCATGTCCAATTTTGCATGCAGAGACAAGATAGCACGGGCACAATCAGGGTATTTATTGAAGTCCAATTCACTTGTAAAATTGATAAAAGAGATAAATTAACAATGTATACATATAGAGCGATGATCCAATTAAAATTCTATTACAAATTAATATCTATTGTTCCTTGTTGTTGTGTTTACGCAATTCTCACACAATATTAGAAAATGGTGTTTTTAGCTTCATTCACACGATATTTAAGCAAGTATAATAAAAACTTCTTCCTGAGCCTACATTGGTCAGCTACATTTTAATCTTACTTTATATCATAGTAAATGTGCTGCTGTAATCATGGAGTAGTGCTTCTAGCATTGTTGAGAGTACTTACAAAAGTGACCATAATCCATAGTACCTGTGTTGCTCCTGTTGCAAATCCCAACCCCAACCCGTGCTCACTCTCAACCCTCACTTTGATCACAAAGTCCACTGACTCCCGTTCTAAGTGAGCCAGTTTTCAACACCGGCATGACAGTTAGCAAGGGACAAGGTGGGAAACCGCCTACAGATATTATTCACTACACGCATATAGCAATTTTTTCTAAGTAGATAATGCTACCAGAACATGCACTAAATAAAAAGATAATGATAGTCATCTTATATATATCATCAAAAACTTGCCTGCACCAAATTTGTACAGAAACAAAAGACAAAAACACCTTAACGTGAGATATGATTTTCTAATCCGGCGGCAGCGCCACTCCCTTGATAACTCACGAGCTTGTGCTCTAGATTTACATGCTTGATCATTCTCTTCCCCGTCGGTCTCCGCCTCCGCTCCCCAGCCTTGTTGTCCTCCTCCCCTGACCTCCTTGGCTTCAAGTAAGTCTCGTACAAAGTTTTGTCACTTTGTCTAGATTTTTGGCCCTAAATCATGGGCGTCCTCAATACACGCACCTCTGAAAAATAGAGAGCAACCATATAAGCTTAAATGCTTGGCCAAGGTCGGCTTAAAAAACGGACTTCTTCCTTGGTTGTTGTAGAACTACATGGCCTGAGCTGCAGTTATTTTATATCTGCTATTTTGCGTTGCCAGCGTTCATGTGTCACCTCCAACCTGCATCAGCAAAATATGTAGGCCTCAGTAGTATACTGGACAACTCCAAACCTCATGGAATTGCATAATTTCCATACACCTGCATCAGGCTTTCCTATCAACTACTCAGGTAAGAGTTGAAACCGAGCTCAACCGGTAAGCAAAAAAAAAATAGAAATCAGTTCAGGAAAAAATGTCACGCCCTTCTCGAGTCTCGACAGTATGCAAGAATCATGACTAAACACTATGTGCAGACATGGTGAGAGATGCCACCAGATGTCACGGTTGTAGACCAGAAAACAGCTAGCCATTCCTATTATACAGATTTGCAAGTCTTAGGATGTGGTAAAATTCTAGGTAAGCAGGTTAGCACTGCCGTACTTGTCATTTGGATCAATACGGCTGTTATACATCTCTGACCTCCTCAGTCCATCAGTAAAAGAGCAAATCATGTAAGGCTTGTTCATATAAGTGTGCATGTGCAATGCACTTCTTGTCAGGAACAAAAAATTTGAATACACAAAGCTAATGTAGAGAAACCTGCAGAGAAAACCAGTACCAGGACATAGTAAAAGTAAACTCTGGAGGAAAATAAACCTGCATTGACCATATATGACTATAAACGACACAGCTAAGAAAGCAGTTCCATGCTTTCATGTGACAAACTTCAATAATGCTTGTAGTTTGTACAATATAATATAAGCAAATATGAAAATGAAATATGGTAAAATCACCCATCCATGGCAGTTTAACCAAATTATGTAAGTTAACAAGGCAGAAGCAGAAACAGAGTTTTAGCATGTTACATTTCAAATGACTGTAAGATATCTAACATCAAGGAGTGATCCTGAAATTCATACTCATAGCAGCCAGAGAGGACATTAGCGACCTCCGTAGGTAAATTGTACAGGAACCTCGGTTTCTCTTTCTTCAGGACAACTGACTGATAAATCTCATCTGGTGATTTGGCACACCAAGTCTGAACGCCACTGAACATCTCAAGAATGCTCCAAGCGAAACCCCAATGAGTCAGTCTCGTAACTAATTGGGCCTCTGATGTTTGGTCGCCAATGTTCTGGGGCATGTAATTTGGAGTCCCAAGTCTTTGGATAAGATCTGGATTTGGCAGCGGAAGTCCAAACAGCAAGGATGGAATCCCAAATCCCCCAGCACAGCATGGTCATTGTCATCAAGGAGAAAATTACAAGACTGAAGATTCTGAACAAATATTCCCCTGGAGTGTAGTTGTAGCACACCATGCGGCAAACCAGTGCCATATCAGCAAGTTACAGGAAATCATAAAAATATGTAGTACTACTGAAGAAGACATCTTCTAAACAGAGCATCTGAAATTCAGTGCATACAGTCAGAGGCGTGTTACCTCCAGAAATCCCTATCAAAAGACACTGGTTTCCTTCCATGCATTACATATGCCAAAAGATACTAAGCATAACATTAACCCATTTAGTTGTCTAGATAACCAGATTAAATCGTAAGCATTACATGGTTATATTTCAGTGAAAAGGAATACTGTTGAATAATGATTGCCAATGCATGTCAGCATGCATAATTCCAAAACCACACGTTTGATCATTTAGGGGGCACATACATTTATTTTCAGAGCCTGCAACTCATAATGAAATGCTAGACAAGTTTATTGTCCTACTAAATATATGAGGAAATTATCAATGTCAAAGTTGTTGTGTCTAATGCCAAAACTAAGTACTATATCAGGTCTGGTTACTGAGATGGTGTTCGGTGTGAAGATTAGTTAACAAAAAAAAGTGAAAATACTTGTGTAATTAGAACAACAAGAACTGTAAATGTATGGATTTGGATTTCACAACTTAATGCCAACTAACACCGCATTAGAAAGAAGGAAAGCCTGGTCCAGTATACTTTGCAATGAAATTTGATTGAATCATTAGAGCCATGTTGAACAATACCCGGCGAACGTTCGCTGGTGATGAGGTCCCAGTGAACACACACAGAACCGCACAATCAAGATCCTGTGGATGGCTGTTTCTCAAAAAATTGCACTAAATTAAAGAACTGCCATGGCAGTTTATAAAAAATGCCCCTTGCCCCTACCCTAAAAACTACCACTTGAGTCGTTCACATATGCCATTCCTGGCATACAAACGGCATCTTGTTTTTTTCACTTTCCTAAACAAAAAGCAACAAATATATACTCGCTATTTCATTTTGACAATAACAACAAGCTACGTCAAACACTCAGTTTAAAAAAAGCTCATGTTTCAAAATAATGTAGCGGCCTAGAAATTGAAATATATTTTATGCTTTCAGTAATCACTCTTGTTGTTAGATATTTGTGATGTGAGCAAAACCATTGTACTAAATATATAAATTGAATCAATACAGTTTATTTTACAAAAGCACACAATACAGTAATTTAGGATATACATCATAGGTCTCTATAGAATCTAAGCATTTAAAAGGAACATATTTTCACTCATGCTGCCATAACAATTTGGCAATGAGAATCTTGTAAGAGCTACATTTTCAGCGATACAATCAAGAAATTATCAATTCCTAAGGCCCTAGCTAGAATCCAATAATGATTTATAACAAGGAGGGTCTAGCAAGAGCAAGATCGACACCATCAATGAAATTTCGTCAAGCCTGTGATGCACAGCAACCAACAATGGTGGAGGAAAGTGAGTTGTACCTGAATAGTGCCCGACCGAAGCGACTCAGTCTGAGATTTCGTAGCCACAACATGGCAAGCATGCACGGCCTCACAATGAGCGAGAGAGGGCACCAAAGCCATTCTGGCTCAAATAGGATGGAGGTCTTAGTGCTAGGAGAAGCATATGCCCCCTGGCCGTTGCGTAGACAGCTCTCTACATGCAAATACAATACAAAAAATTGTTGGAATTGTCAGCTGAATAGCAAATTCAGTTAGAATTTCATGTGAACATAAAACCTCAATTTAATGAGATCAATAAATCTTATTTTTACAAAAATAATAAACACAAGCGCTAGAACAATACTTGTACCTAAATAAAGTTTACAGATGCACATGAATAGATCCACACGAACAGAGCCAAACAAAGGGTCGAGTTAGTAACCTCACCATGATCCCGAGATAATTGCTATCCATATGGAGGCGACTCCATCATTGCTATGGAGTAGAACTACAGAACCACAGAACAACATCTCTCCTCATGGAAACCGGGGTGAGAAGAACACGTAGAGGAGCATCATGTCACGTCACATAAGGCGCGATGTCAGGCACGCCGGCAACCAGCAATGCCATGGAGAAGAAACATAGCAGAACCAGCTGAGCGAGGATGTAGTGGATCAATGGGAAGGTCAACACAACAGCTTGGACCAATTGAATTGATGGCCATTAGATGGGTCGGTGAAAGAGAATTGGGTGGCACTTGGCCAGGGTCTTTCTTTGCAATGTTCTTCTTCTTCGGGATTGCACTCCATCGCCACACTTCCCTGTGGTCTTCTCCATCCCGCCAGACACCCCCTGCTTCTTCTCACGCCGTCCCGCGGTCTCGTGTCACTCGATGGCCTCGCTGCTTGGTAGCTACTTCACTGTAACAATGGGAACCAATCTTGTTTCAAGACAAGATTCTGTCAGTGAAAACTACAAAACGCATGAATCATCATGAAAACGAATAGCAGTACATCATAACCAAGTGAAGAAATAAATAAGAAGTGAAAGGAACTTGCAGAAATCAATTTCATATGTGAGGATAATCTGCAAAATATGTTTGTCAAGACAAATCTAAAAACCAAACTGCTTGTGTGACTTTAATATGAATTAAATTGCTGAACCAAATATGTTTGTCAAGACAAATCTGAAAACCAAACTGCTTGTGTGACCTTAATACGAATTAAATTGCTGAACCTCGGTATAGTGGAAAAGATATTACTAACCTACAGAGTAAGACTTCCAATCCTACTGTTTGCTAGCAGCATAATAATGTGACTCCCAGCATACACCAACAATGCGAAAAAATTAGAGCTGGAAGGCATGAATTCCTAATACTACAGCTCATCCATCTTATGAGGAAAGGATTCCTGCTTCCAAAATGAAGATACCCTGCAAATAACATGGAAAATACAAGTGAGTTTGTACAACAAAGCTGATCCTATTGGAAAGTGCCTAACTGCCTACTAATTCAGGATGAGCGGGTAAGAAAGCATCAGACTAATATGGTGCAGATTTTGATTGGCTATGGTACAGTATAAAGAACTTGCCGTGAAGAAGCTAATATTCAAGGCACAAATGAGATCTGAGATACAGTATAAATTGACAAGTAGATCTCAGTTTATCATCTGCTTTGAAATTAATTGGAATATAAAGAACTCTGCCACAAGGAACCGCACCCATAGCAGATCAGTCTGAATACAGGTAGCAACAAATCGAATTTGCATCACAACCTTTTCAGTTTCTAAACGGATAGAAGGGAGGAAAGAGCCGGGAAGTCTTACCAAGCAGGATTGGTGTCCGAGACGAAGTCATACTCGAGGGACAGGTAGCTGAGGTATCCGTCCATGTTGCCCACCACGCTGTCCTTCCGAAAGAACTCTGCCCCGCCGATCATGCCCCCCTTCTCTCCCTGCCCGTGAAGAGCTGGGGCTGCAACCAGGAGTACGCGGAGGTGGAAGAGGAAGTGTGGCCTGCGGTTTGGCGGGCGCGGCGACATGGACGGATCCAAATTAACCTTGATGGGGAAGGAAGGAAATTGAGATGGAGAAAGCACCTTACCTTGGCGGTGGCTGGAACGGTCACGACGGCGGCGGCTAGCTAGGTATTCGCGGGCGCTCGCTCTGGAAACGGACGGAGCCCAGGAGGCGCCTCGCCTTGACGCGTGTGGCGGGTTCCTCACGGCGCGGAGGTGGAGGCGACCAGAGCCGGCGGCGGCGCGGCGCCGAGGTTGGTGCGACGGCGAGCTCGGGCGGTGAGGCGGCGGGGCAGAAGCTGCAGGAGACGGCGGCGGGGACCTCGAGGCCGAGCTCAGGCCATGGCTTCCCTGGCTCCAGAGGCCGTGGCGGCGCCGGACGCAGCGGCGGGGCGAGGAGGAGGTCGGCCGTCGGGGAGGCAGGAGCTCCTCGTCCCCTCGATCCAGATCGGGATCGAGGAGGGAGCAACAGGGGCGCGAGGGAGCGGGCGACCCGCGGGCGGAGGGAGCTAGGGCGTCGTCCGATTTTTTGTTCGCTGGTTTTCGCTGGTTAATCTACGAAATTTGTTTAGGACGAAAAAAACCGATGGAGGTGAGACGAAAATTAACCGGCGGAGACTACCAACTGCTCCATTAGGAGTAGAGATGAGTAATGTCGTGCAACAACCATCGTTTGCACACTGATTCCGTTGAACTAAAACCATGGCACTTATTTTAAAACGGAAGGAGGAGTTTATTTATGCAAAAGAGACTAGGAGAGCACCTCACAGCAGCTTGCAAATGGTGGTTGTGTCTAGATCTCTAAACTGGGAAATGACGAGTGTGTGTGCATTCTACTATGGCGGAATCAGGAAAATTACAGTATCCTACATCTCAGAATCCGTGCGGCTGTGTCTGCATTTCATAGAAAAAAAATGCAATCCAATTACACATTCACATAATCAGATTTCACAATTTTGCCGTCCTCTAACTAGACTCTAGTCTCATAGGTCTCAAGCATATAAGCAGAAGAAGAGAGCAGTGCGGCAAAATGATACAGTACCTCTCTGGTCTGTGCCGGCCGCGCCTCGTCGCTCCCTCTCCCTGCCGTGCGCTCCGGTGCTCGCAGCCACCAGCCGTCTTGTTGTTCTGCTGCTTGCATCGCAGAGAATGGTGACCTGGTGCGTCTCCGATCCAGTTTTTTTCTTCCTTCTTTTTCTTTTTTGGGTGGAGAGGGACGCAGTCGGGGAGAGGCAGCGAGATGGCCGGAGAATGGGCCAGGTCGCGGCCGCCGGCGTCGCTTTGCCTTGGGCGCGAGAGGGGAAGAGGCCGAGAGAGCCAGGGAGATGCGATTTCTGCCCAGTCGATCGTTCCATTCACACATCAGGGACAGAAAGGTATTCACACGTAACAAGGTTTAGATATTAGATTAAGAGAAGAT